TTCATTGATGTACTTAGGGTAATGATGTCCATCTCATTCCACTGTCTTTCCTGCCCCTCCACACTCTTCCTGCCCCTCCCTCCCCTTTTCCACTTTGCCCTACCAGAATTCATTTAATCCTCCCATCTCCCCTTCCCTGCAGCGTATTATGAATCAGCATCCTTAAATCAGGGAAATCATTTGGCTTTTGTTTTTATTGGGATTGGCTAATTTCACTTAGCATTATATTCTCCAGCTCCATACATTTACCATGATTTTATTCTCTTTTAATGCTGAATAATATTCCATTGTGTATATATACACCACATTTTCTTTATCCATTCATCTACTGAAGGGCATCTAGGTTAGTTTCACAGTTTAGCTATTATGAATTGTGCTGCTATTAACATTGATGTGGCTGTGTCCCTGTAGTATGCTGATTTAAAGTCCTTTGGATATAGACCAAGGAGTGGGATAGCTGTATCAAATGGTGGCTCCATTCCCAGTTTTCCAAGGATTCTCCATACTGCTTGCCATATTGGCTGCACCAATTTGCAGTCCCACCAGCAATCCAGCAATGTATGAGTGTGCCTTTACCCTCACATCCTCACCAACACTTATTGTTGTTTGTATTCTTCATAGCTGCCATTTTGACTGGAGTGAGAAGAAATCTTAAGAGTAGTTTTGATTTGCATTTCTCTAATTGCTAGCAATGATGAACATTTTTTTCATATATTTGTTGATTGATTGTATATCTTCTTCTGAGAAGTATCTGTTCAGTTCCTTGGCCCACTTATTGATTGGGTTATTTGTTTTGTTCGAGTTAAGATATTTTGAGTTCTTAATATATTCTAGAGATTAGTGCTCGATTTGACATGCATGTGGTAAAACATTTATTCTCAATTAGTAGGCTCTCTATTCATCTCACTGTTTTTTTCTTTTGCTGAGAAGCTTTTTAGTTTGAATCCATCATTTATTAATTCTTGATATTAATTCTTGTGGAATAAGAGTCTTATTAGGAAAGTTGGGCCTGGCTGCTGAACATGTGCCTCTGGGATTCATTCTGGTTTCAGCACAGTCTATGGGTGTGCCACAGTGTTTCTCTGGTTAATGCAAAATCAAACAAATGTGCAGAGCAGAAGAATAATAAATGGACACCCCAAACTCAGCTCTTCATCAGTCAACGTGAAGACAGAGGATGACAACATTAGTTGATAGCATTAGTTGACAGCTGACAGCATTAGTTCTTCATGCAGGGCCAAAGTAATTTCAAAGTAAAACCACTCAAACAACAAAGTGGTCTCTGCTCATCCTTGCCAAAAAAGCCCAGACCTTAAAAATATAAGGAGCCACAGCAACGTCTACAGGGTGATCTGGAAAAACGTATCTAGGCATAATTAAAATCTAGGCAGAAGAAACTTGTGCCAGATAAATTTTTAGGGATTCAATAACTTTCATTCATTACTGCATTTCTTCAATACTAACAATTACATAGTTTTCATTTTTTTTGTTTTGTTTTTGTGGTGCTAGAGATCAAACCCAGGGCCTGGTGCACAATAGGCAAGTGCTCTACCACTGAGCTACATCCCCAACTATTTTTCAATTTTAATTGGTATGTATCTAATACAAAATTTATTTTTCTTTGAAAGACTTATTAAATTGTGTCTCTTATGGTTGATGTCATAAATATGAAACAATATGATATTCACATAGTGACATTTCCTCAACCGAACAAATTTCATTTTCACATTTTAAAAATATGAGTTAACCACCTGCTAAGTTCCTGACATTGTTCCAGGTGTAGGAAGAGTGCAGTTCTAGCCCCTGCCATCCAAAGTCATCTACTGATGACTAAACATGTTGGCATTCTGTTGATGATATGCTAAAACTTGCTCAGATGATTTTTTCAGAGGATCACACAGTAGCCACAATGACTGAAGAAGAGAAGGTAAAATTAAATTCATCTTAGAAATGGCATGGCATGAAGTTTCCAAGGAATCTGATGTGCAGAGTAAAAGTAAGCTTATGAAAAAATACCAACTATTCTTTAGAATTATGATGGACCATCCGACAGCTAATAAGTGTCTTCAAAAACAAGCCAGAGTATAAAGGATCTGACTGGGAATGAAAAGGACAGAGTTTTCTCTGGTTGTGGAGAATGATGGCAGAGAATGGGAAAGCAGTCTGAGATTCGGAGTCTCTGTTGACTTCATGATTGTGACATGGTTGGTGCCTGGGAAAGTTTCTGCACAAAGGTGCAGGATGCCTAACTGCTGTGGTAATGCCTTCCATAAGGAGGCTCTGTTCTAGAGTCTTATCTGCCTCAATCTTGATCTCAAAACACTCAGCTCCTGGTAATAAAGGAACTCTCTTGCTAAGCAACCACAATGTTTCACCAAGTTCCCCAGCTCCTGAACCTGTTCATATAACAGTAACTTTAAGCAATGGACTTTCTTGAGAGCTATACAAAGCTGTTAGCATTGCACATTGCAACTTATATGTAGCTGAGGAATAAGCTGCATAATGTTGTTAACTCTGTAAACTGCCTAATGACACAATGAACAATAATGTACTAATGATGCCAGTGACTGAATGTAACCTATTGGTATAAATAAAGCCATCATCTTGGACTAGGCGCCATTTTGCCTCTGCACCTTGCTTCTGTCTCCTTTTGATTTCTTTACACCAGAGACAGAGCTACTGTACTGACTGGAGAGAGCAGGTCAACAACCTGCTGGTTTCCAACCTTGTCCAAAAGGGGGTGCATTCTCTCTCTCTCTCTCTCTCTCTCTCTCTCTCTCTCTCTCTCTCTCTCTCTTCCTGTTTTATTTCTGAGCTCACATGCAACCTCTCACTGTGACCAGAACTTTTCTTGTACTGTGAATTCAGGATCCAAGGACTGAAGAGCTCTAAAAATGAACTGTGCCCCAGGACCAGTGATAGTACTAGTCTTAATGTTTGGTAAGGAATCTGGCACATAGAGCTACCATGGTTCTACCATGGTGATGCATAATTTTCTCTAAAAGGAGATAATGACTAAGGCAAACTGCACTAAGTTGTTATTTTCTTCTTAGGAGGAAGCAATGGAGACTCAGTGATTCAGACAGAAGAACAAATGACCCTCTCTGAAGGGACTTCCCTGACTGTGAACTGTTCCTATGAAAGCTCACAGTGCCCAGCCCTATTCTGGTATGTTCAATACCCTGGAGAAGGTCCACAGCTCCTCCTGAAAGCCTTGAAGGCCAATGATAAGGGGAGTGAGAAAGGTTTTGAAGCCACATACAAGAAAGAAACCACCTCCTTCCACCTGGAGAAAGCCTCTGTCCAAGAGTCAGACTTGGCTGTGTACTACTGTGCTCTGGGTGACGCAGTGGCAGAAACTGCAGGGGGAGCTGAGCACAAACTCTGAGCAGCACCCAGGGGCCTGGCTGCTGAGCATCTGCCTCTGGAATCACTTTGGTTTAAGGACCAGGAACTTGTCTACCATTGTAGCCACCTACCAGGCACTGCTATCAAAGGACAAACCAACCCTAAGGACTCAGCAGGAGAACATGAAGTAAGTTTGCCTCACATAGGATTCTTCAGAGGTTAGAGTGGAAACTGTCACCATTGTTCCTCAACTACTCTTGAAACTTATGATTTTAAAAGCATAAAACCTCAAGGGGAATGAAATGATCTATATGTTCTTCATTGCATGTAATTTTATCCCCTCACATTGTTTCAGGTCATGGAGGAAAATATTGTGTAGAAACTCAGCTGTGGCTTCTGATGGTGAAAATGTTTAATGTCTCCATGAGAAGCTCATGATTTCTGAGGGAAGTTTTAGCCCCCAAATAGTAAATTCTTAAAGAAAAAGAAATTTAAGGAATGAAGGGGGAGTAGGGAGTTTCACATTTGGAAAGATAAGATGAACATTTTTAGTTTCTTTTTGGGAATCTACATGCATACATACAAGGGGAGTTTTCCAAAAAAGGATTACTGATGATGACCAAAAGCCGTAGAGATATCTTTGTCCATAATTTCTCAACAAATTGCCTTTCTATCAGCAAGATAGGATAGATAGGAAGTGTCCAGGATCTGGAGTATAAAAATTTTACTGAGATGAAATTCCTTCACTGTAGTTTGGTGGGAATCCCAACTTCCTCAATATCTTTGCATCATTTCTTCCACAGAAGGGGAGGAGTAGCTACATGGAGTGGGAGATGGTGGCCAGGGTTATGAGAGATGAAGGATGGGAAAGAAGAAGAATCTTTGGATTTAATTGCATATAACTTGGTGTCTTTGCAAATATTGGAGATTTTCTTTTGTCTTGTCTATTGTAGGTAGTTAATGTATATCAGATTATTGACCCATGAAGGGTGCCTTTTGTTTGTGGGAATTGTTCTTGAGCACAAATAAATGAGAATGAGGAAATGGTGTTCATTATTTTCTGTCTCAGAGTCTGCAGAAGAATGCCACTTGGCAGATTATTGACATTGTCATTGTCACTGAAGGAATATTGTCCATAAATCTCTAATTTTTATCATTATCCATATTTAGGCTTCCCTCCTATATTTTTAGTATTTTTTCAGAGGACCATCTCTAGGTCTTATTAATTAGTTGATTTAATAACTACTTATACAACATAAATAATTTGTGAACATAGGATAAAACAACTTCAAATAGTTCAAATAATATATAGAAAAGACTGATTTATTTTTGTGAAATATGGAAGACTGAACATGTGTTCACTTCTGTCTCTCTAAAACTCCAACAAGAGGGTATTTATAGAGGCAAAATTCCATAATCTCAAAGACAATGGAAAAGAAAGACATAGGAGATGGAATGCCAGAAATATTTGAAAATTTGAGGCAAAAATGTAAACATAACAGACTTCAAAGAGCTGAGAAATGTGAAACCAAAGCTTGCAAAAGGGGAATCCAGAATGAAGCCATCCAGGTCCACTGTTATGCTTGGCCCAGGAACTGGAGGCAACAGACTTTGCTTTTGAATACTGGGAGATGAGAATGCTTGGAGAGGTGTCTGGCCTTAAAACAGGAGAACTGCTTAAAGGACTTTATAAGTAGCACTTCAACCCCCATACCCTCCACCACCTCTACAACAATGACTCTCACTCATCTACTATGACATAAAAGTATATATTTACTCTCTGTAAATAGCCTCTGCTTTTTGGGAAACCAAATAAATCTGGGGTGATTCCAAATAAATCTGGGGGGTGGGGTGAAATGGCAAGTTGAAATGGGGGAATTTCATAAATTTCTATTTCTGAGTATGAGAGCTTTGGCTTCTCTTAGATTCAGTTTTTATTTAGCTTTCACTAAATGAATGCGTGGCACAAAAGTTATTAGAGTTTAAACTTTTCTTTTCTCTATAATTGGTGACAGCCCCAGTTACTTGTTAGACTGAGGCAGGAGGACTATGAGTTTGAGGCCAGCTTGTAAAACTTATGAGACCCTTTCTCAAGATAAAAGTAAAAAGGACTGGGGATGTAGGTCAGTGCTAGAGTGCTTGACTAGCATGTGCAAGGCCCCGGGTTCAATCTTCAATAACACAC